AGGTAGCAGAATACAACAGTTACTAATATGGCATTATGTAAAAATGTGGATGTGTAACCGATGTGATTCTGCAATCTTTGTAATGTTTTGAACAACCAATTAAAAAAAAAAAAGAAAATTGATCATCAGCCTGTGGTACTACTGTGAAGTGGTGAAGTCTTTATGTGCTCTAGAAGTCTATGGGACATCAGACTCTTTCTTTTCATTTCCATGCCACCACATAGTGAGGGGCTTTGCCCCAGTATGTGCTCCCCACCATAATGCACTGCCTTGCCCCAGTCCTAAAAACAAAGCCAGCTGACCATCGTCTGAAACCTCTGAAACCCTGGGCCAAAATAAAATTTTCTTCCTTATAAGTTGTTTATCTCAGGTATTCTGTCATAGTCACAGAATTCTAACACACATAGGTTTAAGAAACATCAAAAATATTTTCCAATTTAATCCTTTATAAATGAGGGGCAGAGTTAATGCACCATTAGGGCAGTCATGTGTTTGGCACAGAGTGAGACCAACATTGTTCCCAGCAGCAAACTGAGGAAAAGGCTGGCTGAGGCTCTATTTAGAACAACTGGGGTAAGGGTGTAAAACCACTGAGGTAGTGGGAAGGTAGAGTGATAAACTGCAGAAGGTAGATTCTCAGGAAGCCACAATATATGGTGGCAGAGCAAGAAATCCTCACCAGCTTCAGAAACTTGGGACAGTGAATTATTTCCAGCTGTTGCTTCACATTTATGCAAATAATACCCTAAAGCAGAATGAGTATAAAGGGTATTGGGATGAAGGTGGTTTGAATCTTAGACATACAATAATGTTTTACTTAATATCAAACAGAAATGAAGAACTAGGTCTCAGTAAACTCATCATTGAAATTGGGAGAATTTACAGTTGAAAGGTAAAAGAGAAAACACAGAGTGGTTAAAGTAGTGGCAGTTTAACAGAAATTGAGTTTCAAACGTGAGTGATTAGGGACAAAGGGTGTAACTCAGTGGTACAGCACTTGACTAGCGTGTTCAAGGCCCTGGGTTTCATCCATGGTCCCAAAATCAAAGTGATTAGTCAAAATTATCAAATACTCTAAAGTTTGAAGTCACAGAGGGGTAAGAAAGAAAACTAGTGAGCATATTTAGTATTGGGACATGACTGATAATTTTTTATACTGGAGATTAAATCCAGGGGCATTTAACTACTGAGCCACATCTCTAGCCCTTTTTAATATTTTATTTAAAGATAAGGTATATCACTGAGTTGCTTAGGGCCTTGGTAAGTTGTGAGGTTGGCTTTGAACTCACACTGCCTGCCTCAGCCTCCCTGACCACTGAGATTATAGGCATGTGCCACAACACCTGGCCACCTAGTTTAAACTACCTTTTAAAGGAGTAACTTTAGCTATAGGTAGGGATAATACTCAAATTACAAAGAGTAAAAAATGACAAATAAGCTAGTAAAAAATATTCTTTGTAAATGCTGATGATAAAAGAAAGATAAGCAAATACACAAAATAAAAACAAATCACCCTCATCCTACAAAGCAAACAAACAAACCCCAAAATCCAAGAACTCTTATAGGCAGAAGATATGTGTAGAAAGAAATTAAATGAATGCCCAAAACAGCTGAATAAAGTTGTGGAGGAAACATAGATGATTATAAAAGTGGATCATTTCTATTTTCTGAGATTAAACTATGGATGAAGGAAAAAATTTGAGGTAGGAAAAAGTTAATCTTGGGAAAATCAAAAGCAATCACCTCTGAGTAATCTGTAGGCAAGATTAATAACTGAGAAAATAGAATAAAATTCTTAAGGTCATGAAAAGTATTTAGACAACTGATGCTGATAAAATAGATATTTTTAAAAGACCAAATTAAAGATCATCAATTCACAGCTGAAACAAGTGGTTTGATAGACTAGAAGCAAGCACAGATACTTCAAAAAGGATAAAAGATTCAAGAACAGCAAGACTAAGCATGACTGAAGATGTAAAAGGATTCTAGGACAAAAAACAAAGCACCATTTAAAATAGATGACCCTTGAGGCTTGGTGAGGTTGACTAAAAAATTGGATTGATGCTGCTGGAATAGAAATAGTGATCAAGACCCTGAAAGTAATGTAATGAGAATTTGAAATCAATATTGTGTACAATAAGATAAAATGAGACTGTGGTAAGAAAGGGAAGGGGACGTGAAAGAAGTTAGAAGTGGACATGAAATGCTAGCACCAAGAAGTCAAAGTATCCTGAGGTCAGGCTGAACGTTATGGGAGGTGGGGTGGGAAGTGCTGAAGTCATCAAAAAGTGAGGGAAAACCCTTCATACCTGGGGTAGCCTACTAGAACCAGAAAGCAACAAAGAGATCTTGTTATAATCTTCGATAAAACTACTTTTATTGGTTATATCTTTTTACTAACTGAAATAGAACTACCTCAATATTTATATCTGAATTTTTTTTGCTATTTAAAAAAGTCCATCCTGAAGGAATAAGTCCCTACAAAATAAGTCCAAATGAAAGTAAAATGAACTCTGAAGTCTTTCTTCTAGCATGGAGTACACAGTAGGTACACAAATTATGGCAGCTGAATCAATATATGAAAAAGAATTCCAAGGCTGGGGTTGTGATTTAAAGATAGAGTGCTCGCCTACCATGCGTGAGGCACTGGATTCGATCCTCAGCACCAAATAAAAATAAAATAAAGGTATTGTGTCCATCTAAAATTAAAAAATAAATGTTTAAGACAGAATTCTAATAGTAATAGTATGAATGGAGTATTCTTATAGCTTCTTATTTCATATTTCACTGAATGAATTTAAACATAGATGGATGGCTAGAGAAAGGAATGGATAAATGGATAAGGGAAGAGTGGAAGAGGGAAAAGAAGGGAGAAAAAGAGAGGGAGAGCGAGTGAGGCAGGTAGAGTAGCAGGCCAAAAGAAAAAGTAAATAATATTCTTAGCATTACTGAAAAACCTGGAGCCTCTCAAAGTGATCATTTGAAGAGGGTAATTCATGTAGTTACATGTGTTTATTTGATAAATATATTGAAGACATTTAAAATTTTATATCTAAGCTGGGTGTAGTGGCTCACACCTATAATCCCAGTGGCTCACACCTATAATCCCAGTGTCTAAAGAGGCTGAGGCAGGAGAATTCCTGATTTGAGGCCAGCCTGAATAAGTCAACGAGACCCTGACTCAAAAGTAAAAAGGGCTGAGGATGAAGCTAAATAGTAAAGTTGCCTAGGGTTCAATACCCAGTATCAAGTTTAACTAAATTAAATCAAAATTTTTTATTTGAAAATAACCACTTTTTACTGAGAAGAAAAAAAATTCCCATAGCAAAACACATTTCCCTAATAAAACCATTCTAATTTCATTAGTCTAACTGTTCTTACAATTTCTTTCCTAGTATTTTGATCAGTTACTATACTGAAACAGTACAAGGAACATCCTTGAAGTTCCCTTATGTTAGACTTTTAGCTCCTTGATAAGACAAACTTGCTTCTAATATGGGAATTTTGTTTTTAAAAAATAAATTTCTTGAATGGATATTTTAATTATTATTATTATTTAGGTGCTTGGGATGAACTCAGGGCCTGGCAACGTGCTAGGCAAGGGTTCTACTGCTGAACTAAACCCCCATGCCTGAATGACAATTTTGATCAACAATTTACATATTTAACTTACCTCATCATATGATTTATAAAGGCTTTGTTACAGTTAGTGTTGTATTTGCAAAAATTACAGTGGATATATATAGAAAAGTGGCTTGCAAAGTCCTTTATTTTGGAATGACATTCAATGCACTTGTGAATTCCCCGACGACACCTTATGAAGGCAAAGGGAAAAAAATGATAAAAACATATTATAAAACAAAAACAATAATGCAATGTCTTATTAAGAATTCATTAATTGAAAAATGAGGTTATATTCCATTTATGTATGATGTGTCAAAATGTCTTCTACTGTCATGTATAGCTAATTAGAACAAATAAAAAATCTTAAAAAAGAATTCATTAATTGAGGGGCTGGGGTTGTAGCTCAGTGGTAGAGTGTGCTTGCTTACCATGATTAAGGCACTAGGTTCAATTCTCAGAACCCCATTTAAAAAAGATCCATCAACAACTAAAATATATTTGTATATAAAGAATTCATTAATTAAAGACAAGGTGTTTAAATTAATATCCTTAAATAGAAACTTAAAATTTGAAAATATACTTTGAAACAATAAGTTAGAACAAGCGCAAAAAGTCAAACACCAGGGGCTGGGGTTGTGGCTTAGTGGTAGAGAGCTTGCCTAGCATGGGTGAGGCACTGGGTTTGATTCTCAGCACCACACATAAACAAACAAACAAATAACTAAAGGTCCATCAATAACTAACAAATTTTTTTTTTAAAAAAGTCAAACACCGGGCTGGGGATGTGGCTCAAGCGGTAGCTTGCTCGCCTGGCATGCATGTGGCCTGGGTTCGATCCTCAGCACCACATACAAAGATGTTGTGTCTGCCCAAAACTAAAAAAACATAAATATTAAAATTCTCTCTCTATTAAAAAAAAAAGTCAAACACCAGTTAATATTTCCATGGAATGAAATGGATCAAATTAGCTGATTCAACTATCACAAGATAAAAGCACAAAATATAAGCTTGATGTAAAGGATTAAAAATATGGAATAAACACAGTAATTTGAATTTTGATCAGCAAATGTAAAAAGTCTTTTATCATGTAAATGGTAATAAAAAGGTATACTTTTTACATTCACTTGCCTTTATGCCAGATAAGTGATTATCATGTAAATGTGCAAGAGGGTTCTGTGATATAGTAAATTATATTAAAATGAACTTTTAATATTTAAAATTAAATTAGTATTTTTAACAGGACTAATCAAGATAAAAAGTACCTTAAGTTTTTCAAAGCTATGCTGATTTTATTTTTTCGGTTGCGTTGTCTTTTCTGCTTGTAAGAGTGTTTGGCTTTGCTTTTAGTTGTAACTCCACCTCCACTCTGTTTACTTGTGTTGGGTTTACTTGCAGCAGAGGCAGCTGCATTAGGCTTACTTGTCTTAGATTTACTTGCATTAGATTTTGTGAGATTTTTAGCAGTTGTGCTTTTAGACTTTGGAGGTAAGACTTGAAGAGAAGAAGTACTTGGAGCACAATTGGATGGTGTACTTGATGGTCTTGGCTGAAGAGGTCCAAATGAAGCTCGAATAGTAACCTAAAACAACAACAACAATATATATATATATATTTTTTTTTCCTAGAAAATTAATTTCACAGTAGTGTTAAAAATATCATCTGTAAGTTCTCACATTTATTATCAATGTATTTTAGACAAGTTGCCAAAACAATTCCATGGGGAAAGAATACTCTTACCAACAGATGGTGCTGTTAAAAACTAATATCTATACACAAATCATACTTCATAGTAAATATAAAATTTAACTCCAAATGTATCAAAGACCAAATTTTATGACCTCAAAAGGTAAAACTTTTATAAGAAAATATGATAGTAAGTCCTCGTGGCTATAAGTTAGGCAATGGTTTCTGAAATATGTCGCCCAAAGCATAAGCAAAAACAGCAGACAAAAAAATAGATAAATAGGCATTTCTTCAACGATACAAAAACTTGTACATGAGTTTTTGTAGCAGCATTATTGATAATAGCCAAAAGGAGAAACAACTTAAATGCTCACCAAATGATGAATGGATAAATAAAAGGTGGACTATCCATAACATGAAATATTATTTAGTCATAAAAAGGAATGAGATATTGAAACATGTTATAATATGGATGAACCTAGGAAACATTATGGCAGCCTAAAGAAATAAGTCCCCAAAGATTACATACTGTGTGATTTTATTTATAATAGGAAAATCCACAGGGACTGAAGGTAGATGTAAGTTTGCATGGGATGGTGGAGGAGAAACAGAGTGACCGCTAATGGGCATGGGGATTCTTTTGGGGGTGATAAAAATGTTCTAAAATTGACTGTTGGTGATGTTTTAAAAACTCTGAGAATGTTCTAAAATAAAATCATTGGATTGCACAATTTAACTAGATGAATTACATGGTATATGAATTGCATTTTCAACAAAGTTGTTACAAAAAAAAATCACTGTAATACAAAAAGTTAAATATAATTATTTCGAAAATAGTAAATATAAACAACAATCAATTCTCTCATTTATTCTAGATGGTCATACCAATTAAATGAAATTTAGCTTGGTATTAATTTCCTGCTATTATATATATTTTTTCTATTGGTAGCAGTTATATGTTAACATAGATATTAATGGATAATTAGGAGTGTTAGTGCAATTTTAGCAATATTAAAAAAGCATGTTCCCTGGCTATTTTTATACTTCAGTATAAGTAAAATGTTTTCACAAATAGAGATCAAAATTAAAAGCTGAGGATATAGCTCAGTGGTATAGCACTTAGCATGTAGAAGGCCCCAAGTTCAAACCTTAGCACCTTCGAACTACCTAACTACCTCCTACCTACATATGTACACAAATAAATCCCACAGCCTAAAATCACTCTGTAAAGGCCTGCATTATCAGATAGTCAGTAAATGTGACCTTCTCTTTCTTTCTGGGGACTCATTGGGCATGATTTTTGCTTTCAGATATCACAATGGAGGTTAAATCAATTTATCGTACAGCATGGAGATTTAAAAAATGCTCAGAAGTTCCTTAATGGTAGCTAATATAAAAGTTATCACCTAACATTTGGAAAAAGGAAATATTCAATTATACCCAATAGTTAATGATGGAAAACAGTCACTTATTAACACTCTCTTTAATCATGTGACTATAATTCCCTCTATGTACTTGAGGAATAGTCTATGTGATGTTCTGTGAAATACACGCGACTTTGGTATTATATAAAAGCCTAGGACAAGGAGTCAAAGGACCTGAAATTAAATTTCCATACTACTTGTTTCTAGCCATGTGACTGTGGGTAAGGAATTTATCCCATCTAAGCCTTCTTATCTGTAATACGGGGAGAATATGTACCTTGCCTATCTCATTAGAGTACTGCATAGATTAAATAAAAAGAATGTATGAAAAGGCACACTGATAAACTTTTTAAATTTGGAATTAAGCATATTCCAAATGCTCTAAGATATTAATATTAATATTGGGGCACTTTGTTACTTGCAAGGGAAGATATGAGAAGTGTGTACTTCTTACATTAGTATTCTGCATGGAATGAATGACTGCAGAGAAGGACACCAGATAGTTTTTCAAAATCTCAGATCATTGCTTCACATTATATCTTCTATTTGAATTAACTAAAATATTCACATTCAAAAGTATGTACTCAAAGTTAAATATCAATGTCTGGGGATTATTTCAGTTTGGATTATCCATCCCTTCTCTGGATCAAATATTCAAGTAATAACTTCATATAAAGAAGTCAGAGAAAACATATATATAAGGCAAACAGGAAAAGGAAAGTTTGTAGTTAGATGTGTGTTTCTTACTAAAAACAGCAATGTTATCCAGGAACAGAACTTGTTTCAACAAACCTATGGCATTCAAGGCATTAGGACAGATGCTTGGGACACAAAGATAAATTAAACAAGATTCCTGAACTAAAACATTTTATAGTCTAGCCCCTGAAACAGACATATTCTAATAACTGGAATAGCTCAAAAACAGCCTACAGAATACTGAAACAACAGCTGTCTCAGCCTACAGTTAATCTAGTTGCACTCTCTACAAAGTAATATTGCTTCAACAAAGCACATGTCAATCAACTCAAAATTACAGTTTTGAAGTTTTCCTTTCCAAGATAAGAACAATAAAACCTAAAATTAAGGTCTTAATTATAATCATATGTTATTTTGTATTTTATAGATAACAGATGAAACTAGGCAGGAGTTTATTTCTCTTATACAAAATGTTAAAATACAACATATTTGATACTCACTTTTGTTCCAGGAGGCAATCCTTCCAGTTCTTTAGGCTTTATAAATGTACGATGCTGGGTCTTATGATCTGTTTTCTCCTTGCAGGTCAAAAATTGTAGCCTGCATTTTGTACAACGATGAATTCCTTTTTTCTGTTTACATAAAATAGTAGAAATAATAGTAGGAACAATAACTTTTACCACCATAAATTCTGGGGCCTGAAATTCATCTTAATTCTAATAACTAAACCATTTAAAACCAGTATCTTACCATCTCTCACTATAAATAATGTCATAATACCCTCTTTGTGTTTTTTTTTTCTTTTTGGTGCTAGGGATGAGACCCAGGGCATTGTGCATACTAGCAAAGTGCTTTATTTCTTTTAAAATCAATCCTTACACTGGAATTTGAGTTTCAAAAGTTTTTGTTACCATAAAAATATCCAATATAAAAATTATATCAATTAGGATCTAATTGGGAAAGTCCTATACCAATTGTAGTGGGAAGGTGCTTTTAATTATAAATTTGAAGAATATACTATTCAAACACATTATACTGTGAAAATGAATTACACTACATTTTTATCCTTAGAAAAAGTAAAGTACAATTTTAGCTATTTCCATTTGTCTTCCAAGTTAGTAATATAAATTGAACTTTCTAAAATCAAACAAATCTAACCAGAAACTCCCAAGAAGGTTATGCTACAGAAATAGTATAAAAAGCAAACCTATCCAATAGAGCCTTTTGCAATGATGATGTTCTACAGCTGTACTATCCATTATTTTCACTACTCATATGTGGTTACTGAGCACTTTAAATGTGGACAATTGCAACTGAAAAGCTGATTTTCTAATTTTATTTAATTTTAATAAGTTTAAATTTAAACAGACACCTGTGGCTAGAGGCTATAATATTGTTAGCATGAGTATGGAGGGTTAGGGTTAGGGTTAGGGTTTTAAATGAGCACTGTTTCAGAACCACTTGACTGAGTTCTTCCTCAAGTAAAGTCCTATTATTAATAAGAAATATGGGGCTGGGGGATATAGCCCAGTGGGGGGCTGGGGATATAGCTCAGATGGTAGAGTGCTTGCCTAGAATTCACAAGGCCCTGGGTTGAATCCCCAGAACCACAAAGAAAAAAAAGGAAAACTATGCCACAAGAAAAATTTGTCACTTGCACAGAGCTGGTTAGTGTTCTTTCCACTATATATTATTAATTGTAATCTTTATGTATATGCTTGCATTAATTAAAATTTTTTCTATTATATGTAAATTCAGAACATATTGTTTTCTCTAAAGCTCTAGCTTCATAAGCACAGCACTCTTTTTTTAAAAATATTTTTATTAGTTGTTGATGGACCTTTATTTTATTTATTTGCATGCGGTACTGAGAAGTGAACCCAGCCTCATATGTGTTAGGCAAGCACTCTACCACTGAGCCACAACCCCAGCTCATATCACTATATAAGACCCAATCTTTCAGAGTAATCAAAATGAGCTGACATATGAAAATACCAGGAGTTACTGATGCACAGCAGGCATGTGGTGAATAAAATATCTATAAAAAGCTCACACTACATATTATATAAAATGTATTTTACTATGTTAGTTTTATCTTCAGACTGTTTTGGAGGTGTGGTGTCTTATATCAAAAGTACAGTCAACATAAATAAACTCACCTATATATGCCTAAGAGAGAGGTGGAAGGGGAAAACTCAGCCAAGAAACAGAAATCAAGATAACCAGAAAGAAAATCCTACAGAGTATAATTCCCAGAAATCTTTTCTCTACCTATACCTCATCTAGTTTCATGGCTTTATTTATTTACTTGTTAGTGGGGATTGAACCCCAGGGTATCATGGAGCTACATTTCCAGTCCTTTTATTTATTTATTTTTTTATTTTGTGACAGGGTCTTGCTAAATTGCTGAGGCTGGCCTTGAACTTAAAATCCTCCCACGTCTGCCTCCCAAGTCCCTGGGACCACAGGTGTGTTGTCAGCAAGGGTCAGTTTCATGGCTTTAAATAGCCACAATCCAAATACCTACTTGACATCTTTGTTTCACTGTGTATGTGTGTGTGTATGTGTTTGTGTGTATGTGGATGTGATGGCGAGAGAATGTGTTCCTCCCTAGTTTTGCCAATGTCTCGGTATATGGGAACTCTATTTCCACAGCTGTGTAGGACAAAAGGAAAAAAGGAGAAAGCCTGGTTATTCTTAACTCCTTTTTCTTATACCTTACATTCAACCCATTAATAAAATGTATTAGCAATATCTTCAAAAGACATTTATAATCTTTTCACTTCTCATTATCTCCATCAAGTTAGGCACACTGGTGTGTGCCAGTAATTGAAGTAACTCAGGAGGACTGCAAATTCAAGGCCAGCCTCAAAACATAGTGAGGTCCTAAGCAACATAGGGAGATCCTGTCTCAAAATAAAAATTAAAAAGGGTTGGGGGCTGGGTTGTGGCTCAGTGATAGAGTGCTCGCTAGCATATGTGAGGCACTAGGTTCGATCCTCAGCACCATAAAAATAAATAAAATAAAGTCATTGTGTTCATCTACAACTAAAGAAAAATATTTTTTTAAAAAGGGTTGGGGATGTCACTTAAAGGCAAAGCATCCCTGGGTTGCATTCAATCCCTAGTACCAAACAAACAAAAAAACTCATCACTCATCACCTCTAACCACTTCTACCACTCACACTAGTATAAAACCAAAAACTCACGTAAACTCTTGCAATAGGCTTCTATTTTTCTCCCTGTTTCCACCCTTCAATCCCATTACAGTCAATTCTTCTTATGGCTGCCAGAGCGATGTTAAAAACAATGCATATGTTTCATATATGTAAACTTCTGAAAGTGGCTTTCCTTAATACTCCAGAATCCTGACTCTAGCTTATAAGGTCCTGTATAATCTGGCTTATTTTCTATTGCTGCAACCTCATCTCTTTTTACTTGTTTACTGTGTTCCAGCTACACTGACCTCCTTGCTGTTTCTTGAACATCCTAGGTATATGCTCACTTCATTATCCTTTGCCTGGAATAGTCTGTCCCAGATAGCTACAAGACTTACTCCCTTATCTCCTTTGAAGAGGCCCCCTGTTTTTTACCTCATACAAAAAACAGAAACCACTCCTTCACCTAAGAAGGCAACTTCCTATCCATTTGTATTTTTCCCATTGTACTTGCCACCAGCTAGCATACACATACATTCAGATCTTCCTCCTTACTTGCACGCCTGTGCATGCACACACAAACATATGCAAACATGTTGCTTTTCCTCAACAATGTAAATTCCAGAGGGCACAAACTTTGCTTTTCTCACTTCTGTATTCCCAAAACCTAAAACAGTCCCTGGCATTTATTAGGTTCAATAAATATTTGTTAATTAATGAGGCAGACAGCAAGAGACTGAGAGACCATACACAAGCAGCAGGCACAATTTAGCTAGTTCAAAATGTCTACCATTCCATTCAGTGAGCATTTGCACAGAGCCCTGAGGTTGGAGACATTAATCTACTATTCCCTCTTATGCATGTATACATTAAAGATGCTAAGGATGATCATGATGATGATGATATAGTACCTTTTAAAAATAACATGATATTCAACCAAAGAAACAGTAATGTGAAGTTCCAAGAGTAAAGAAGAAAGTTGTCTGACTTGAACTTTTTGACAAGCATATTATAATGTTTGGGTGATTTGAGTGATTTTTCATGGGTAATGAGTAATATCTCTCTTTAGGCCTCATATCAATGTGTGGAATATGGGTCTGTAGTAAAAACTTGGACTCTTAAGTCAATCTTTGGCTTTGCCATTTATTGGAGAATGTGATATTATCCAAGTTACTCTCTATAAAGCTTTATTTCCTCACCTATAAAATAGAAGCAATTACATACCTGCTTAATAGTGTTACTATAAATATTAAACAAAATAGTGCACATAAAAGTGCCAGTGGCTGTCATATGGCAAATGATTAGTATATGGTAACTGCATATTCTTATTACTAAGGAGTTAATGAAGATATTTAACACATCTGAATTCTTTCATCCTTTCATAAAAGTTATACAAACTGAATTGCTAGCACTAAAATCACTCAAGACACGATAATGTATTTATTTTTTTAGAAAAAAGTTATAATCGAAGTCTTCAAAAACCTATAGAATAAACTACAGGTTTAATGATTCTTATTCTCTAAAATTGCACTAATAATGTCATTTCTATTATAAGATTATAATCCTGCTCAGTTCTAGCTTTTGAGTACTTAGTGAACAACACACAAAATGAAAATAACTTGAGGGATGCCTGATGATCCTTTGATCAATAGATTCCTTTCTTTTTTATTGCTGACTGCCTACCTCTTAGATACATGAAACTTATCAAAAAAAAAAAAAAGGCTGGGGTTGTGGCTCAGTGCCGCGACCCCTTGCCAGCAAGGAGGACACAACACAGGATTCTTCTTTCAGCAGTTTATTCCGGCCTTTACTTATGTGTCTCTGGAAGCTTCTCTTACTACTACTACTACTACTACTACTACTACTACTACTTCTACTTCTACTTCTGCTACTACTACCACTACTTCTACTTCTACTGCTACTACTCCTACAGCTACTTCTATCACTGCTTCTGCCGAGCGCCCCAGCCTTGATAAAGCACATCAAGCCCCAATGCACAACTGCCACGTGGACCTTTCTCATAGGGTGTTTTACAGCTACGTGCCATCTCTCCCAAAATAAGGAGTTGTTTATCATAGGCCACGGCGCTTATCAGCGCCATCTTGTAATGGCGGCCACAGTTCACAGAAACGGCTCACCACAGCTCAGTGGCAGAGCACTTGCCTCACACAGGAGGCACTGGGTTTGATTCTCAGCACCACATAAAAATAAAAAACAAAATAAAGATATTGTGTCTATGTATTTAAAAAAAGGAAAGAAAATTGAACTCCCGTGATGGGTCAAATGTTTTAAGTCTCACCCCAATTCATATGCTGAAATCCTAGCCTCTAATTCGATAGCATGGGAGGTGAGGTTTTTGGAAGGTAATTAGGTCATGAAGCTGAGGCCCTCATAAATGGGGTTAGTGTCCTCATAAAAGGGACCCTGGAAAGCTCTCTTGGGACCCCTTTGCCAGGTAAGGACACAGTGATAAGATGACTAAATATAAATCAAGAAGCAGGCCCTCATCAGACAACTCAGACGTGCTGGGATAACTCTTTCCAACACACCTGGTAAGTTAGGACATATGAACTAGGGCATTTAGAGTGACTACAGATCAGGTAAAGAACTTAAAGAGACACAGACCACATAACCTACCTATCAATTTCTACCTTTCTAAGCATGTATCACTCACTCCATGTCTATATCCACATACTCTGGAGCCTAGTAAAGCAAAGGAAAGAATTATGCTAAAAGCCTCATTATGAAGCAGGGAGAGTACTTCTTTTTATTTAATTCTTTTCAAATTCAAAAGCCAAAAGTTGAAATACAGAGCACAAAGAATAGTGTTTCTCAAATTCTATTCCTTAAGAAATGTTAATAGGTATCATACAAATAAAGGGTAGAAGCCGGTCACAGTGGCACACACCTGTAATCCCAGTGGCTCGGGAGGCTAAGGCAGGAGGATCATGAGTTCAAAGCCAGTCTCAGCAAAAGCAAGGCACTAAGCCACTCAGTGAGACTCTGTCTCTAAATAAAATACAAAATAGGGCTGAGGATGTGGCTCAGTGGCCAAGTGCCCCTGAGTTCAATCCCTGGTACCAAAACAAACAATCAACAACAACAATAAAAAAGGTAGAATGGTCAAACAAGTTTAAGGAATATTATGTACTGTGTCCTACTTGAAGATTTATATATATATATATATATATTTTTTTTGGTACTGAGGATTGAACTCAGGGTTGCTTTACCACTGAGCCACATCCCCAGACCTTTTTATTTTGAGACAGGGCATTGCTAAATTGCTGAGGCTTGTCTAGAACTTGGAATCCTCCTACTTCAGCTTGTCAAGATGCTAGAGTAACAAGCATGCGCCATTGCACCTCAAATTTATATTTGCTTCTTCTTTTTAGTTGTAGGTGGACATAATACTTTTATTTTATTTATTTATTTTTTAAGTGGTACTGAGGATCAAACCCACTGCCTTACACATGCTAGGTGAGTGCTCTACAACGGAGCTACAACCCTAGCCCAAGATTTATAATTTCTGTTAGGATATTAAAAGCTCTAAAAAGTCTGGATTTTAAACACAGCAAAAAATCCTACCAATTTTGTAAACCCAGCCATTTGTGAAATTTATTATGAACAATTTGTGAGAATACCTATTAATACCTGATGGAACACTGTTGGGGAAATCCTTGAATGGAAAGATTTTGCCAGAGTTTCTTAAGAACATGGTAGCTGACCAGGATAAAAAAATAAATACATTGGTACCATGGCAATGGTAACACTGACAATCCTGAATGTGTCTAAAAATTCTTTAATAATTTTTTCCAATTAACAACTACAAGTTGATTTTATGATTATCTAATGACTATAACCAAAACCCATATTAGCATCAGTACTTAATAAACTGGCCATGACAATGTAGTCAATAATAAGAAAATATAATAAGCTGATCAGTAAGGAGGCAAAGCTTGATTACATAATCAGATTCAGTAAATCCACTGACAGTTCTGATTTTGACAGAAGCACTGTTACTCTTTTAAACATCCAAGAACAGGCTCACTGCTTCATGAAAGTTTTCAGCCCAAGTGACAGTCTAATTGTTTCAGGAAAAGAACCAGTGGGGGGGAAAAATGAGAATTCAAGGGAAAGGTACAAGCACTAATACTGGTATCATAGAAATTACATAGCAGAACTGTACAAAGTCATACAGGAAAGAATTGCAACCTAAATATAGTTCTCCAGCATAATTCACATATCTGGTATTAAAGGTCACTGCTGTTTCTTTTGCTATCAGCTGCTACAAGAGACCATTCTGGGTCACTGATGACAACCACAGGTCTTCCAGTAACAGAAAGTTGGGAAGTAGAAGTAAGGTTGGAGGAAAAAAGGAAAATAGAAGGTTATGAGTCCTCAGTCTTAAGCTTCCTTGGTTCACATATTCTTTTCCCTACTCTTGATAACCACCTTCAAAATCATTCCTATGTCTACCACTCTTGGACCCTAAAATATCCAACCTGAATATTCCACTCATCTTCCTCTTTCCCTCTATTCTGAGGTTCCTTTTCTAACTACCTTTCAGAACGTTTATTGTATATAAGCCTCAACATCATCAGAAAGCAGGCAAGGAAAAGAAATGAAAGTTTCACAAGCATAAACTGTAAATTAATTATGTCTTTCAGAGCAACTTTGCTTCCTGTTCAGAAGAAATTTAACCAATGTTCTAAGTATGTCTAACATTTCAACAAAACAATGCAAACAAATACGAACTACTAAATCTCACCTGATGTTTCATGTAATGATTCATATAGGGGGTTGCCATTCTACTAACTTTGAGGCAGAATGGACACAGCAAGTTCTTCGTGTTTTCATGGGATGCTCTAAAATGAGTTTCTACATCAGAAAATGTTGAAGATCTAAACTGGCAAACCTAAAAATATAAAGAAGTTTTAGTTTAACCTGAAGATTTATAACTTGCATAAAATGACATCAAATTAGCCATGGTGAGGTACTTGTTAAGAATATTCTGAACTACTAGTTTAGCTTTACTGTCTATGCAACCAAGAGTCCTATTAGTAAAAGTAATAAAGATAACTCTGAAACTGAAGAGTTATCTTTCAAAGTTAGGTGTATATTCCAAAACATAGACTCCCTTCTTTTCACCATCCTCATCTTGACTTGAATTTTCAAACTTTGATGCCTCTTGTTCTGTAAAGTTTTTCCTGCTATACAAAAAAGTATTTTCTTCTTTAGATTTTTAAAGGCTATGAAACAGTGGCAATTTATCCTTACCTTGCTTTCTTATTACTGACAGTCACTTTAAATTCTGGAAAAACAATGGTCCCAAAACATGTAATTGGGTTCTCTATAAATAGAAGCATTTTCTGTTTTCCTGTCATGTCTACATTCTCTTCTAATACGATAAGCCTTTAGGTTTCTTTCTCCAGCAGGATATCTCTTTGCCCAGGAGGGTCAACAAACTATGGCCCACAAGGCAAATCTAGCCTACCACCCCCAAGGGAGTTTTCACTAATGAAGAGGCTCTTCAATTTTAGTACGATAACTACCTTAAATGGTCAAAAATCCAAAGAACAACATTATTTCACGGCACCTGAAAATTAAATAGACACCTAAGTATACAAAAAAATCTGTGTACCTGGCAAATATATGGCATTTCACCGGGTTTATGAGTATCCTTCATATGTTGTAAAAGAATATGCTCTGTTTCAAATGACAATTCACAGATTTTGCAAATGGCTGCAAGTGGGGAAAAAAAATCACACAATTTTAAGGATGTATATTTAAAAAGGATGCATTTTGTACATCTGTAACAATGACAACAAGAAGTAACAGTAATAGTGGTAGAAATAACAGTGAGGGTGTTCTAATAATTCTATCACTATTAACATTGTTCTAAGGGCATTATTTAGCTTATTTAATTCTCATAACATCATTGAGGGAAGTGTACTACTAGTTTTAGCCACATTTTTCAGATGAACCAAAAATATAGAAATATTAATGAATTGTTTACAAGAGTCATTTCAATTTTAGTAACAAATTTTATTTAAGTATAAGAGTTAAAAACTGTTTTTTAAATTTTACCCTCAAGGTCTATTTTACCATTAGGATTCTTAAGGTTCTTTCATAGTTCAGATGATCAAAATCAGTAATATTCATAATTTCAAGGATTGTCACTTACTAGAAAACTCATGGGGAGTGTGAGTACTCTCAATGTGGCACTGCAACTGGAAGGGCGTGGGATACTGCCTGTAGCAGTGCTGGCAGGTGGTGTGGTTTTCCCAGCTCTCACTGTTCTGCTTCTCGAGTTCCAAATGGTGCTTCATATGGTTCATGAACCTATAAATCATTGTCAATAGGTACAAAGATTCAGATTTATAACTAGAGAAAAACCTCACAAATAAATGTCTGATCTTAAATTTTAAAAATACAGTTGTCTGACTAAATCAAAATAATATCTCCTAGGCCTTAAAGTCCTCTAAAAAATAAACACCTGGGCAAAACAGCAGGACCCCATAACATACAAAAAAGTGTGTACTTTATTCATTAAGTGGCTCACTAAACATTTTTTCTTTTCATCTTGTTTCAAAACGTTCTGGGTAAAGAAAACTAGCAGGCTTCTTTTCAACACATGAAATACTATTTATATTTCAAAATAAGACACTTATAGAAAGAAAACTACCACCAACAGTAGCTATGGAATCATGAAAGAAATCTTTTGAAGATTTTGAAGATATATATGTATGTATTTGTATCTTGGTTTCAAAATGCATGTAAAAATAATAATAATAATAATTAAAAGAACCTTTTGATTTATTTAGTGATACTGGCTTACTGTTGTTACAAATTGTTGGGCTGGGGATGTGGCTCAAGCGGTAGCGCACTCGCCTGGCATGCGTGCGGCCCGGGTTCGATCCTCAGCACCACATAAAAACAAAGAGGTTGTGTCCGTCAAAAAGAAAATAAATATTTAAAAACTCTTTCTCTCTCTCTCTCTCTCCCCTCTCTCTTTAAAAAAAACCAAATTGTTCATTTTTTCTTACAGAATGTCATTTAAGGCACAGAGTATACAATAAATGGGCATACCTACTTTGAAGAGTGTACTGAAGCTTTTGGCTGAATTCCAAAGTAAAGTTTCAATCAAAGCAACAATTTTAAGAATGGGTCAACTACTTATAATAACTCACTATAAGTTCCTAAAAAAAATCTTGAAACAGGGTGGACTAGATAGCAATCATTGTGAAAGTTTAACATTTATCTCTTTTTTACACCTTCAAAACACTGCTTCTTTTTAGAGTTGATTATGAAACACCTTGCAATATCTTCTTTATTCCTTTGGTTTTGGAAAATGTCTGCAATTTACTTTGAAAACTATCCAAAAAATCAAATGGTTCTATGAATAAATACATATGTGGTAAAACAAGTACAAGCTTAGCATCCCTAATCTGAAAATCTCAAATTTGAAATGCTCCAAAATCTAAAACTTTTGCGTACCACGATACCATAAGGTGAAAATTCTACACCTTACTTCATATAATGAGTCACAGGCAAAATGCCAAGTATACCATAAATACTATATAAAATCACCTTTAGGCTATGTGTATAAGGGACATGAGAAACAAACAAAAAATTTGTGTTTAGACTTGGGTCTTGAATTCAGGACATCTCATTATAGATATATGCAAATATTCTAAAATCTGATAAAATATCCCAAATCTGAAGCATTTCTTGTGCCAAGAATTTTGGATAAGGGATACTCAACCTGTATAGTAAAATGTTAATGGTAGAATTGTGTTGATAAGGGCTGGGGATGTGGCTCAAGCGGTAACGTGCTCGCCTGGCATGCGCGCCCGGGGTGCTGGGTTCGATCCTCAGCACCACATAAAAATAAAATAAAATGTGTCCACTGAAAACTAAAAAAATAAATATTAAAAAATTCTCTTTAAAAAAAGAATTGAGGTAATATACAGATGGTCACTGTAAAATTTTTTAATTTTGTTGAATATTCAAAAATTTTTATTATAAAATGTTAGAAAAACAACCTCACTTAATATAAATATCAGGCTACACAAGCAATGAAAAATAACTATTGAGATGTCTTGTTACTTTGTTTTGCTATTACCTCATTTGAAATGTTAAGATATGTAATGTAACACATAACTCAAAGACTACAAAGTACAAGTTCTTAAAATTTAAAGCATACATGTATAAAATCTTTAAAATTCCACTGGAGGGTGTAACTCTACTTTGTGTACAACCAGAGACATGAAAATTGTGCTCTATATGTATACTATGAACTGAAATGCATTCTGCTGGCATGTATAACAAATTAGAATAAATAAATAATTTTTTAAAAATTCCACTGGAAATTCAATCTGTTTTAAAATGTATTAAATCATAAAATCAAAGCAAACATGTTTCAAAGAACTTGAATGTCTCTAAAAGATGACCACCAAAAAAATCACTATCTCTATAGGTAATTTGTTAAAAAATTTAAGTACAAACAGAAAAATTTGAGCATTAAATAAGACCAGCATGGAGGTTAGATTAGATAATGTATTTTTTCTTGTGATATAAAGAAATGTTAAGGGGCTGTCGCTGTAGCTCAGTGGTAGTGCACTTGCCTAGCATCTGTGAGACACTGGGTTCAATCCTCAGAGCCACATAAAAACAAATAAATAAAATAAAGGTATTGTGTCCATATACAACAACAAAAAAAAGGTATGTAAGATTCACAAGCAACTAGAAAATAAACACGTTACAAAACTCTTAGTTCACTGTTATATAGATAGCAAAGAAGTAATTTTCCTTAAGTTATAATATATTTTGTCCTTTCTTAAACACTGAAAAAATATAATTATGGAGATCCAGGAGTAATACAAGTATTACTAATAATAGTAGTATTACTACTAAAATATAAGAGAGCAAAAGGGCTAGGATTATAGCTCAGTGGTAGAGGCTTGCCTAGAACATGTGAGGCACTGGGTTTGATCCTCAGCACTACAGGAAAATAAATAAAATAAAGGTATTATGTCCATCTACAAATAAAAAAAAATATTAAAAAAGAAAAAATAAAGAGAGGGCAAAATATTTTCAACATATTGTTTTACCTAGAGTGGGAAAGAAAAATAATATAATATTCATATTCCAAAATTCAGGATTTTATACATTGTAGTACCTAATTGTGAAACAATTGTAAGTAAGTATTTACATACCTAATATTATTTTTAAGAACTTTCAAGCAACTGAAGCATTTAAAGGTTGTGTAAGTCTTCGGTTCTTCTTCCATGGCTCCTTCATGTCTTCCATAATAAAAGTCACTAACTAACATGATCAATTTTCCTTTCTCTGAACCAGTATTAGTTTTGTCTTCGGCACATGAAAGTTCTGTTTTAACACTTTCCATTAAGTTATTTATCATGTCCGGGCAACAACGCTAAAAAGAAGGGGAAAAAAAGCCTTCTTTATATCTCTTTTAAAAGTGAAAGGTCAAAAATGAATTCTGTGTTTGGGCTGGGGTTGTGGCTCAGTGGTAGAGCACTTGCCTCACATGTGTGAGGCACTGGGTTCAATCCTCAGCACCACATAAAAATAAATAAATAAAAATATTGGGCCCATCTACAATTAAAATAATATTCAAATAAATAAAAATGAATTCTGTGTTTACATCTAGGGCTAGATCATATAAAACTGTGCATGGCAATATATCTGGAAGGACATTCACCAAAATGTTGGCTTTCTTTTATAAATTTTGAACAATTCTAATAATATATACTTACTATATTGATAAAGAAATAGCTTCAAAAACAAATTGAAATCCTTAAGGTCAGGGATATCTATATATTTGACTTATATATTTATAAATGTAAATACTTAATAATTTGCTTCTTGGCCAAAAATAATATATTTCATATTTGCAGCAAGATATAGCTTAAAGAAAAGGTTGTTTGAAATGACTATGTATAAGCTTAATTATTAAATAACAAAGTAGTACTTTAGTAAGCTTGGTTGGAAGCAGACTCTAAGCATTGCTAACCTGCCATTCTCCAGAGTTAAGGTGCTAGAAGATATGTGTCTCACAAAGAAAGAAGCATCAATTATATCTTGCAAACCTCAACACATTCTATCTAGAATGCTTAAATATTAGACAGGGAAGTCTATCTCATGAATAAAATCAAAACCTCACATAAACTGATCCTATTGTGGAATACTTTCATACGTAAGCCTTTTTTCTCAATAAGAAAATGTATTCAGGGTCAGGTGTGGTGGCATACTCCTGTAATTCCAGCAGCTTGGGAGGCTAAGGCAGGAGGAGAGATGTTCAAAGCCAGCCTCAACAAAAGCAAGGCACTAAGCAACTCAGTGAGACCTTGTCTTTAAATAATATACAAAACAGGGTTGGGAATGAGGCTCAGTGGGTGAGTGCCCCTGCATTCAATCCACAGTACCCCCCCCCCAAAAAAAGAAAGAAAATTTATTTATTGTCACTTAGAATCATTTAAAAACAAAAATAGGAGAAAATATTCACAAACCACAGATCTGATAAAAGGTTAATATCTAAAACATACAAGAACTCTTATAAGTCAACAGAAAAAAAACAAACTGATTTAAAAATGGATACAGGAACTGAATAAGACATTTCTCAAAAGCAGATATAGAAATAGCTAACAGGTAGGTGAAAAGGCACTCAACAACATTAATTATCAGGGAAATACAAATCAAACCACGACAAATTATCACCTCAAACTTTACCAAAAAGACAAAAGATAAGTGTTGGTGACAATGTGGAGAAAATGTATACCCATAATGGGAATATAAACTGGTGCAGCCACAGTGGAAAACATATGGAAATTCCTCAAAAATTAAAAACAAGTACCAAAAAATCCAACAGTGTTATTTCTGGGTACATATCCAAAGAAATTGCAATTAGGATTTCAAAGGCAAATCTGCAATCTTGTGTTCATTGTATCATTATTCACAATAGCTAAGAACTAAAAGCAATCTAAATACAAATGGATAAAGAGAACACACACACACACACACACACACACACACTATGAATATTATTCAGCCTTAAAAAAGAAAGAAATTCTACCATTTGAACAATGGATAGACTTGCAAGATATTATATTAAGTGAAATAAATCAGCAAGGACAATACCACGATTCCTCTTTTAAGAGAAATCTAAAATAGTCGAACTACTAATACAGAGGATAGACTGGTAGTTGCCATGATCTGGGAGAAGGAGCAAATGGGGAAGTTTAGTATTAGTCAAAGAGTATGAAAGTTCAGTTATTCAGCATGACTAAACCCTAATGGCCTACTACACTAGCATAGTGCCTACAGTTAACAATACTGTATTGCATACTTAAAAATTTTGCCAAGAGGGTAGATTTTATGTTGTGTTCTTATCACAAAAATAATACAATGGGCAGCTGCAAACTTTTAAGGTAATGAATATATTTGTGGCATAGACTGTAGATGGTTTCACAGCTGTAAACTAATTTCCAAACTCACTGAATTGTATGTACAAAGTATGTACAGCTTCTTGTCATACCTCAGTAAAGTGGTTTAAAAAAGGGACAAGCCTATATAACAAAACAAGTTAGGGTGGAAAACAGTAACTTTCCTAAAGTCTAAGCTATGTATACATAAAATAAGTACAACATAAAAGGCTCAAAAAATAAAACATAATAAAATAAAACAGAACCAAGACCAATTAAATGTATCTTACCAATTAAATCTCTCCTATCAATGAATATAAATGGGCTTAAATGAATGAAAACAAAGATTTTCATGTAGGATTACAAAAGAAACTAGTGAAAATAAGAAATCTACAAAAAATAAAGTGATTTGGAAAGGTTGAAAATAAAAGGCTAAATAAGAAAATAACAGGTAAATGCAAAAAATAAAAAAGCAAGGGTTGTAAGCTTGCTATCACATAAAATTCACATAAAATGGAATTTAGATGAAAATCATGAAACAATCACACAAAAAGGGTATTTAAAAAAAATGTCAATGGTACATTCACAATGACATTATAAAAGAGATATCCACCTATATCCTAAAGAGCAGCACCACAAACTAGAACAGGAAAATACCAAAGAAAATATTGATAATGTGAGACTTGGATTCACCTTTCTCAAATACACTCTGGGAAGTAAGTGTAGTAATCTATTCAATAGTTTTGCCCCCAAAGAGATTTGTATTTGGAATTTTAAAATACGTCTTTTCCCCCTATTTTTTTGTAAAATGCTTAATTTCAATAAAAATATGCCAATCTTCAGAATAGTGAGCAGTACCTTTTCCTAAGTTGCTTCTTTGCTTTGCACTCTTCTCATCCCTTCTTTCCCATATATCATCTACATTACCTTTTTTCTTGCTTCCTTCCCCACTTCGTGCCATTTACACTGGGCATGCAAAGAGAATACAGACTATCTTTATACAGACAAAACAGAATACTATAATATCTTCTAAAATATTTTAAGTGGAGTTTCTCCTAAATCCCACACCTTCATTAGTACTTTGAAAATCACCTAAATCCTAATTTCAGGAGTTTCCTGAAAAGCTAGAACTCATTTGAAACTATATAAAGTATATTCCAGATTGAGTTAAAACTATCATTTCATATACAATGTCCTATCATTAGAAGTCTGTTGAAAATTAAATGGGGAAACTAAGATTTTCAACAAGTCATGTGGCATGCATTTGTCACAATGGATAAAAAATACATAAAAAAAAGAAGGTTGGGGTTGTGGCTCAGTGGTAGCACACTTGCCTAGCATGCGTGAGGTACTGGGTTCGATTCTCAGCACCACATACAAATAAATAAAATAAAGATCCATCAACAACAAAAAATACTTTTAAAAATACATAAAAGGAATTTTAAGTTTTATGTAGAATCAAGTGCCTAATAAAATGCCTGCTTTACAAAAAGTTTGAAGAATGGCATGATATAGTCAATAGAGCATTCTGATTAACACTATTTTCATTTAAAATTAAAATGCACTATGAATGCACTGTGGCATGTATATGAACTAAATTTTCAAAAAAAATTTAAATTTTAGGAATGGGAAGATTTTAAAATCTTCTATAAAGACAATCATTACAAATATCAATTTTTACTTGAGTTATACTGAAATACCAATATGAGATGATTTATTATCTAAATATATGAACAAAACCAGCTTTACTATGGATTAATCCTGAATATTTTCATGGATTTGTACATATTTTAAAAAATCAAATTTTGAAAAAAGCTTTACCTTCATGTGGTATTTCAAAGGATCCAAAAGACTGAATTGAATATTGCACTTTGGACAAGATCTTAGGAAAGGTACTCCAGTTTTATTTTGAGTTGAGGTATTTGAACCTAAAATACATTAAGGACTTTAATGACTCAAATTCATCTTTTTTTTAAACCTTAAATAACCACTAACATTGTAAAATTCATCCCAATTTCTAAAATTCTGTAAATAATACAATTTCTTTTTCATATGCCAGATTTAATACTTACCTGTTGTTGTTGATACCATAACCTGGGAAGATGCCTCTGAAGGGGAATTATTTAAAGACAATGAAGATGAGGGATTTATTTCAGAAACACTTTCGATGGCTTTTGG